TGCCAAGTTTGGCGTGAATCTATGCATGTTTGAGCATCTTATGGGGTATTCAACTGCCTCAGTATATGGCACTTAAGTTTAAAGATTTTTATTTTCTTTCAATTAATTAGTAAATAATCTAAAAAAATTCTAGAATATGTAAGATGCATTCCTTGACATGTGTGATTTTTTTCGGGATTTTACTGCAAACTATGGATTTTTAATGATTTTTTATAGTTTTGAGTAGGGTGTAATACTGCTAACCATGGAGTTTGAAGATGCTGTTTCTCCTTCTTTTGAACATATACTTTTGACCCACCAACTGAGATGGCCGCAGCGTCTATCTGACAGATGAGATTCGTCCCAGATATTTTCATTTATCCCTATTTTAACCCTTCCTGACCAACGCTGTGGTTGTCTCCTGCTGGTCCAGAGGTGAAGCGTGGAGCTTTTTCCGCTGGCTGGGAAGGTGCAAGGGGGCGGCGGTCGCTTGGCTCCCGCGGTCGCAATAGGCCGAGTGGCGCTGAGCTGCGAGGGCCGTCAATACCGCTTGCGGTTTTAATTATTATTATTATTTCCGTTTAATATTGCAAATAATATTAAATATTGGAATTCTGATTTTTTTTCTCAGAATTCTGACTTTAATCTCAGAGCTCAGACTTTTTTTTCTCAGAATTCTGACTTTAATCTCAGAGCTCAGACTTTTTTTTCTCAGAATTCTCACTTTAATCTCAGAATTCTGACTTTTTTTTCTCAGAATTCTGACTTTAATCTCAGAGTTCTGACTTTAATGTCAGAATTCTGACTTCATTCTCTGAATTTTGGAACTTAAAATAGAAGGGCACCATGAAGGGAGAGATGTGGGAGCACTCAGCTTCACCGACAAAGATGTGAGTTGTTTGGGAGGGCCATTGGTGGAAAATTATGGGATTAGGCAACTTTTTACGTGCCCCAGGGGTCCCGGGATACATAATGGAGGAGCAGAAGTTTGATTAAAACAAGAGAGCTGGTTTAGTCTCTAAAACAGACATGGCTACGGCTTGATGCTAACATGTTTGTTAGCTGTCAGAATTCAGTAAGAATTCAGAGAAAAAAAGTCAGAATTCTGATATTAAAGTCAGCATTGATAAATGCTGACAACATTCCTCTTTGCCCGGCTCCTAATTGTCATTCACCTCATCCACCTGCCTTTCTCCCTTATATGGGGGTTTTTGTGTTAATCTTTTATTTTCTTTTATTTTCATTTGTATACACAGAGTGTATACAAGAGTGTTTGTTTTCAGTTTGATGCGAATCTGTGACATGATTTAGAGTTTTTTTGACATTCTGATGGCAGTGGGGTAGAATCTGTTGCAGAATCTGCTGGACCTGCATCGAATGCTGCAAAGTCCCTTCCCAAAGGGCAGCAGGGAGAACAGTCCATGGTTGGATTGTGAGGGGTCATTTATGATGTTACGGGCTCGGGAGACGCAGCGCTGAGATGAAATGTCTTTAATGGAGAGAAGAGGAGCGCCGATGATCCTCTCTGCTGTTCTCACCACTCTTCTCACCGTGAACAGCAGGGGGCACAGGATGCCACCCTGAGGGGAGCCTGTGCTTAGGGTGATGACATCAGAGGTGTTCTGTCCAACCCGGACTGACTGAGGTCCGGACTTACTTCTGGATCCGTCTTTCAGTTCTGGTTTACAGTCACTCAGCAGCAGATATGGGAAGTAACGAAGTACAAATACTTCGTTACTGTACTCAAGTAGATTTTTCGGATATTTTTACTTTACTTTACTACTTATTTTTATGGCGACTTTTTACTTCTACTCCTTACATTTTTACACAAATATCTGTACTTTCTACTCCTTACATTTTTAAAAATTGGCTCGTTACTTTAGTTTTGAATCATTTCAATGGAGTTACCGTTATTATTTTTCACGTCATCAATACCAAATTCAATCTAATTGGATGGGAATCTACGTTGCATTTGACGCACCACTACAAGATGAATCGACAGATTCGCCGGTATTCATTCGCGGCAAATCATTGCAGCTTGGTGGCGGTGGCGTTAGCATAGTAGTATGGACGACGAGATGATTGAAAATGAACACAACGGAGATCTAGTCCTATTGGCAGACATCCATTTAAAATGTAGGCAACGGCATGAAAAAAGTGGTTTCTACTTTTACTTTTATACTTTAAGTAAATTTACAAGCCTGTACTTTGTTACTTTTAATTGAGTAAAGAAGTTTAATCAGTACTTCCACTTTTACCAGAGTATTTTTTATCACAAGTATCTTTACTTTTACTCAAGTACGGAAAGTCAGTATTTTTGCCTTCTCTGGTCAGCAGTCAGTCTTTGTTACCACCTGCAACTGCTCAAAATTTCCTTGAAGCTGTTTGTTCTTGTTCGTTCTGCTGTTGAATTGTCCCCGTCCCACTGAACAAGAACATCAGGTTTACTTCCTGACCTACCTGGGAGGAGGGCAGAGTCAGGCCTCTGAAACGAGAAATCAGTTCTCACTGCGGTCCAGACCAGAAGTGTTGTGCATCATGTGATACAATATGAGCATTTGGTAAAGATTGCATGTGGAGCGATAAGAAAATATTGCTACATATGCCTACGGGAATCCTACCCTGTCTGGAAAAATAGCTTACTGCTGTATAAGAGGACCCTTCGTAAAGCAAGGGCAGCATATTTCTCCTCATTAATAGAGGAGAACAAGAATAATCTTGGATATTTTTAATACAGTTGCCAAACTCACCCAGAGCCATAGCTCTGTTGAACCATCCATTCCACCTGCTCTTAGCAGTAATGATTTTATAGGATTCTTTATAAATAAGATTGATCTTTTAAAAATTAAGATCATTAGCACTTCTCTATCTACGATTGGTTTATCTCTGGAGAGTGGGGCAGCATCTCAGGTAGTCCTGGAATCTGAACCGGGTTTAGACTGCTTTGATCCAGTTGAACTTTCAGAGTTAGCAAAACTATTGTCTTCATCTAAGCCTTCAACTTGTTTGTTGGATCCAGTTCCAACCAGGTTATTTAAGGAGGTTTGATCTCCTCCATTTTAGATGTGATTAATCTATCTCTGTTCCAGGGATATGTACCAAAGGCTTTTAAGGTTGCAGTAATTAAACCTCTAGGAATTAAAGGAACATACAGTAGGTCTAAACTGGTTTAAATCGTATCTATCGGATTGATTTCAGTTTGTTTACGTTAATAAAAAATCTTCCTCATGCTCAAAGCTTACCTGTGGAGTACCACAGGGATCAGTGCTAGGACCAATTCTCTTTACTTTGTATATGCTCCCAATCGGTAGAATTATTAGACAGCATGGGATTATTTTCCACTGTTATGCTGATGATACCCAGCTATATATGTCTATAAATCCAGATGAAGCTAATCCATTACATAAATTACAGGCATGCTTCAAAGACATAAAAACCTGGATGACTCTTAACTTTCTGCACCTGAAAGCAGACAAAACAGAAGAGTCTTTGGACCAGAGTCTCTGAAAAAGAAGCTGATTAGTCAGTCACTTCATTTGGATGGGATTCAACTGATTTCAGATAATAAAGGAAAAAATCTTGGTGTTGTTTTTAATCAATATTGCAAAAATTAGAAATTTCCTATCCAGGATTGATGCTGAGAAAGTAGTCCATGCATTTGTTACTTCAAGGCTGGACTAATGTAATTCTTTACTATCAGGAAGTCCACAAACTGTAGTAAAAAGACTTCAGCTGATCCAAAATGCTGCAGCCAGAGTTCTGATGAAAATGAAAAAGAGAGATCATATCTCTCCTATCCTGGCTTCTCTTCATTGGCTTCCTGTTAAATCCAGAATAGAATTTAAAATCCTCCTTCTCACATATAAAGCCTTAAATGGCCAAGCTCCATCTGATATCAGAGATCTGATTGTTCCTTATGTTCCTAACAGAGCACTTCGCTCTCAATCTGCAGGTTTACTAGTGGTTCCTAGAATTTCTAAAAGTAGAATGGGAGGCAGATCTTTTAGTTATCAGGCTCCTCTCCTATGGAACCAACTACCAGTTTTAGTCCGTGAGGCAGACACCCTGTCTACTTTTAAGGCTAGACTTAAAACTTTCCTTTTTGATAAAGCTTATAGTTAGAGTGGCTCAGGTTATCCTGAGCTACATTTCGTACAACCCCGACCACAAGGGGGCTGTAGAGTGCTTTAGATATGGTCCTTGGCATGTGAAGACAGATGCATAGATGTTTTAGGGGTGAATTTATAAGAAGTCTCTAGAAGTGACCATCAGTGTGTGGGTGAATGAATGGCTGAATGTAGTGTAAAGCGCTTTGGTCAAGTCTCCTGACTTGGAAAAAAAAAAGTGCTATATAAGTACATGCCATTTACCATTTTACCATCATCTTCACAGCAGGATATCTTCAGCCTGGAGCCGCCTCCAAATCTCCATTAGGGATCAGTTTAATCTTATTTATTGTGGTTGAATTGAACTTTAAAGCTTAAATTGTGGACAGTTCAAAGCCCCACTTATTGACAACCTGGGCATTTGCCAGTTTTGGCTAAATTTAAACTAACCTAAAAAAGAAAATAAAAAACAATCCACTAGACTTTGTTTCCAAGTTTGAAGATGTTTCACTTCCCATCCAGGAAGCTTTTTCAATTCAAAATGTCAGGAATAGCGTTGAGTTCCAGGTTTTATGCAGTAGCCCAACAAAGCCTTTAGAAAACATGCCAATTGAAACGGACGAATGGGTCCAGCCCTTTGGAATAGAGGGCGTTTGGCTACTTTTGTTAGCCTGCAATGGCCCATACCTGTCTATGTCTCTGAAAGGGAGGTCATTAAAGGAAATTGGTCTGGCTGAATAGGCGAGGTCATCCGCTCTCCTGTACAGGGGCTGGAGGACCTTTCTTGTTCAGCCAGGCCAACAATTCCCTTTAACGTCCTTCCAAATCCTCACGTTCTTATCTTTCTATCAAAATCCCTTTCTATATAATTATAATGATATTCATATTATAGCAACATGCTAAAATAATGTTCAGAACAGGTGCATGATTTTATTAACCAACCAAAAGAACACAGATCAGTGATTGGTTGTAACCAAGCAAGTTCCTTCACGTCTGGCCTCTAGAGCAGATGTTTGCTGATGTCAGAGGAGCAGAAATCATCTGGAACGAGCCTTTATCAGCAGAGGTTTCTACCTTTCAATGACTGCCTTCACTAATTATTTATTACCAACTTAAAGTGCTGCATGATGCTGTTCAGGTGTTTTTGTTCTGAGAGAAAAAACGGCCCATAAAGTAATGGGTGTGTCAGTCCTGCTAGAGAAGATAAGAAGAAGAAGAAAAGCACCGAGACAGGAGTGGAGTAAAGGCTGGGAGCAGAAGAAGAAGAGAAACGGATGCTGCTACAGTCCTGGTCCCTAACAGGAGGAGCAGAGTTGCCTCCACGAGGAGGGCCTCATGTCAGGTGACGGCGTTCAGGTTGTGGCCCGACTCTGTCGGGGTGAAGAACTGGACTTTGGGTGGAATGAGGCCGGAGTTGTTCCTGCGGAGGCTCCCGCTGCTCCCACCGCCTTTCCTCATGGAGTTGTTGCGTCTCATGGAGTTACGCTTCCTCAGCGAGTTCTGGTGGGACAGCTCGCTTTTCTGCAGGGTCTGGATCAGGATGTAGGGCTTCTCGTCCAGCTCCCGGGCGCTGCAGCTTGGCGTGTTCACCTGCAGCAACGACAGCGCTCTTCAGCCTCTTACACCGATGAAGTTCTTAACATCACAGGAGGCAAAAACAAACACGGAGCTAGGATCTTTCTAGAAGAGCAGCCATAATGGAAGACTACAGGCTCCTCTCCTGTGGAACCAACTACCAGTTTTAGTCCGTGAGGCAGACACCCTGTCTACTTTTAAGGCTAGGCTTAAAGCTTTCCTTTTTGATAAAGCTTATAGTTAGAGTGGCTCAGGTTATCCTGAACTATCTCTATAGTTATGCTGCTATAGGCTTAGACTGCTGGAGGACATAGGGACCCCTTTTTCATCATTCTGCTTCATTCTATCTCTATTCTCCCACTCTGCAGAATTTGTTAATTTAATCTCTAACGTTCTGCTCTCTCTGCTTTTTCTCATAGTAGCTTCATCTGGTCTGTTCCTGTTTGGCTGTGACTCCATCCTGGAGAGAAATATCAGCTGTGGTGCTTCTATCAACACGCTATAGAGTTGATGCAATAAACTGGTTTTCCTTAGATAGAAAACTTTGAATCAATCTGACTGTATGATCTGGTGAACTGTTAAATGCCTTGAGATGACATGTGTTGTGAATTGGTGCTATAGAAATAAACTGAATTAAATTGAACGATGGGTGCCCTCAGCGGACATTTTTAACCTTTTAAATATCTGGTGGGAACTTCAACAAATCATAGATAAAACTCTGAACGTTCTGTAACATCATGGCGGCTATTCCGATAAACTGATGCAGAACTCACTTTGACCGTGTTGCCAAACTTGGAGTAGTCCACCGAGTACACACCCTCCTCCTCCGTGACGATGGGAACAAAGCGGTGACCCCACTGGATCTCCTCAGACACGTAGGAGGTCCGGGCTTGGGTGGTGATGCCTGTGGTCTCCACAACGCCCTCTAGAATGACGATCACCTCCAGGTCGCTGCACTGCAGCTCCATGGCTGACAGGTCGTACAGCGGGCTGAGCGAACCACATTTGCAGGTTGGAGTCAAAAGCTCATTTTTCCAGCATTTAAAACATGTAAATATGGTTAAACGAGGCAGGAATATACATCACCAGTTCCACAAAGTACATATAAAGAGAAGCATTTTGAGCCTTTAATGCTTTAAAAATTCAGCAAAAAGATCCAATCCTTTCCTGAACCTCAGATGTCATCAGCTTCTATCCTGGGATGATGTTATTCGCCCCTCCATCCTTCTCTCTATTCCATCTCCTCACATTGTAACGAAGGCTGGCTAAAGCCCACCAACCCCCACCCATCCTCACCACTTTCTCCAGAAGCACCATAGAGAGCGTTCTGACCAGCTGTCTCACTGTGTGGTGTGGAGGCTGCAGCGCCTCAGCCTGGAAGAAGGTTAGAAGAGTTGTTGGAACAGCAGAGAGGATCAAGGAGGCTCCTCTTCCCTCCATAAAAGAGATTTCGCCCAACGTAACAAATTACTCACCTAATTAACCTGCCGTTCCCTCCAGGCGCTCTAAATATTATTTATCCACCTGTTCGGTCTGCTTTATACACGGTTCAGCCCAGCTATCAGGGCCAGATCATTATTCTTAGTTTTTCTAGTTAGTTATTCATGTGTGTTTGTTTTTGAGTTAAGTCCCTGATTCTTGTCCAAACTCTTTGGGGCCCGTGGGTCGAGGGGGTGTTTGTCTCCTGATTGTGTCCCGGCTGTCCTCCGCTGAGCCCTCAGGGTTTTGACTCGGAGTGTGGAGGAGGCCATTTTAACCCCAGTGATCCTGGCTCCTAGGAGTCCAGTTTAAAGTTCTACAGTTATCCTGGTACCATGTCTTGTCTCTGTTTCTCTCCGCCCACCTATCTGTCTGAGCACGCTGCTGGACTCATAGAACTCTAAACCTGCCTGAACACCCTGTGGATTCCTGGAACCCTGGATCTGTCTGTTCCTGATCGGATCAGAACTCCTGGTCGGGCTATGGACTCTTGGATCTCAGAACGGTCCTGTTCTTAACTGTTTCCCTGACCTGGATCGGTCTCCTGCCTGCTCACTGGGGTTTCTGCATCGGGGACACTCTGGACGGCTCAGGGCTGCATCTCATTGGCAGACCATCGGCTGGATCCTACCTCACCCGAGAGGATGAACTGTTAAACCAGGTAAGTGACTCACACGGATAATCATCTTCTGTCAGATTATCGTGGTCACTTACCTGTGTTTCTCCCTCAACCAGAGTGCCAGTGATGGTCACACTGGTTGAGGGAGAAATCACTCTGGTGTTTTTTATTTCATTTTTTGTCATTAAACGCTGAAACTTCCCACTGTCCGCCTCGCCTGAATACTGTGTCCATCTGTCCTGTTTTTTTGACACTCACCTGTCTTTATCGATGATGTGGCAGATGATGAGCGGGGCGAGGAGGAACAGGCTGTTGCTGGCCACGGCGCTCTCCGTCTGAACATCGATCTGATGGATGGGAATCACCTCCCCTTCAGGCGTGGTCGTCTTCTTTACCACCTGCGGTTCACATTAAACGTTTTTTTCAAAGCGCTGCAAACATCGGTATCTATTTATTCATATATTTGACATTTATACAAATATACTTATTTAGTAAAAGACACTGACACGCAGTAGATTTATAAAATCCCAAAACATTTTAAATATATTTCAATCAAACCCTGAGTTTAGGCAACAGGAAAAATATGTATTTGTCCCATAATATAAAAATTGACATTAAACTTTTTCCATTTCTTTGCTCAAACGCTAAAATTAATTCACTTCTTAATCTTTCTTCCTATTTAAAAAGATGAGACGGTTTAATAAACTTATAATTCAAATTTTGTCAAAGCATGTAAACATTGATAGCGTAACATCGCTAAGCTACTAGCTCATCTGCTAAGTTAAGCTACTTAGTTATTGGCATTTTTTGGTTAGACTCATTCATAATTTTATGTTTTTTTGTTGTTTTTAATAACACAGACTAAGAAAAATGTCAAATTAGAGGGAAGTTGTCTTAAAATGCAAAAAACTGAATAAATAAAGGAGCATCTTTAGCTAATGCTGAAAATATTACCCTTAACGTTTTCTATTTCTTGTTCATTATAAAATTTAATAATGTAAGTAAGGTGTTAAAGTCTGAGAGTTTTATTAGATAGTTCATTTGAAACATTAAGAAAACTATTTCAAAATGTTTTTCAAATGAATATTATCATAAGCAATCCCCCCGATACAGCATCGGGTTAGCACAGGGTTCATACAGGAATGAGTAACTCTAATGTAATGCTTTTTAATGCTTAGAAATAATTTTAAAATAATATATATATATATATATATATATATATATATATATATATATATATATATATATATATATATATATATATATATATATATATATATATATATGCATATACACATATATATGCACACACAAATATGTATACACACATACATATATATATGCATACATACATACTGTACACACACACACACACCCATGTGTTAACATCCATTAACTCCCATTGATTTTCAGTCATTTTCATTGTTTTCTATGTCGTTATTTTAATCTTTTTTTTTAAGTAGAGCATTTTAAATACCACATATAGTCACATTTAATAAATTTTAATGGCATTTAAAGCCCTTCATTTAAAAGATAATAATTGAATGACTTTTAATGACCCGTGGAAGCCCTGTAGCACTACATCTAGCTTTAGCCACATGTTTCCTATCCAAACAAAAATGCAACTCAAGATGAAGATCTATTAAATTACAAATAATTCCTATTTAATGGTTCTTTAAGTCAATGCTAACATTAGGAAATGTTGATGAGGTCATTTCATCTTTTCTGACAACCAGACACCGTGAGGGGCTTTCATGGCCGCCGGCAGGTGAAGCCTCTGAGGTAAAAACAACAAAACACCTGTAGCCTGACAGTCGCTCCTATGATCATGCTCTTCCTCAGATCGCCGATGCGAATCATGAAGCACAGACGGTTGTTCCTCACAGCAATAACGGCATGGCGGCTGAAGATTAAGGTCTCTGCTCGGCGGTTGGACTGAGCCGTCTTCATAAAGATACAACCTGGACACAGAGGAAGACAGTCCATCAGAGGTCGCTTTAAATAATTATCTTTCTACTTTTAGTGTATAGCATTTCAGAAATGAGGCACAGGGTTCTGGTTTGTACCCAGCATGACGGCGTTAATGATAAGTCCCACTATGTTCTGCAGGATGAGGACAGTAATGGCGGCCGGACAGTGCTCTGTTATCATGCGTCCTCCGAAGCCGATGGTCACCTGAACCTCAATGGAGAACAGGAAGGCTGAGATGAACGACCTGAGGAGAGATTTGACATCAGTTATAGTTCCTGTTTGTGTTCTTTCTTTACATACTCGTACAATCGTCTGCTTACAACATTTGGATTTAAATCATAGGTTAAGGCTGTGAGTTGACTGAAGCATGATACTACCTCCACCGTGTTTTAGGGTGCACGTGCTGGAGGACATAGGGACCCCTTTTTCATCATTCTGCTTCATTCTATCTCTATTCTCCAACTCTGCAGAATCTGTTAGTTCAATCTGTTAGTCTGGAGAGAAATATCAGGTGTGCTGCTGCCATCAACACCTTTGTTTATAGATGTTAGAGATCGGCATGTTTTTCAGTGTAGTCCTGTTTCTCTGACTGTGACTAACTGGATGTTCTCTCTTTATCCTCCTACATGGGAGCTGGTTCGGAGCTCGTCTTCCTGGCTCTGTGTTTCCTGGACGCCTCTACTGTACTTTTACAGTTACCTTTTCTATCTCTGCTTCTGTCTCCTTGAACCCCAGTCGGCCTCAGCAAATGGCCGCTCACACTGAGCCTGGTTCTGCTGGAGGTTTCTTCCTGTTAAAAGGGAGTTTTTCCTCTCCACTGTCGCTACAAGCATGCTTAGTGTGAGGGATTGCATTCGAGTCAATGCAATCAACTGGTTTTCCTCAGATAGAAAACTTTGACTGGATGATCTGGTTGAACTGTAAAGTGCCTTGAGATGACATGTGTTGTGAATTGGCGCTATAGGAATAAACTGAATTGAATAAAAAGATAATCCCCTTTCACTAATTTAGGTTGATTTCCTAGTTTAGATGTTCTGTTTTATACTAATGAAGAATTTCTATTGCAATTAGAGATTCTGGATTCTGCTAAAGCAAAACTAAAGATTAACATCATCTGCATAAATGAAACATTAAATGGTTTAAATTGGATCAACAATTGCTTTATAAAGTAAGGACATTTTAGGACATTAGTCAGATGAAAACTGGCCAAAAAAACAGAAACTCGGAGGGATGCCAGTTTATTAACAAATAGAATTATAGCAGGATCTGTTTTTAAATGGGGATTAGAAAATTAGAGTTTTAACTGGGAAATATAAAATATTGGCCAAAAGGATCTGAGTCAAAGCCAGGAAAAGAGTTCAATAAAACCTCCAGTGTCTCAACTTTATTATTATTAGCTGTGGTTTTAGAGAGAATTTAGAGGCTCCACAGTTTGTTCAGATTCCTGCCAGTGGTAAGCGTTTTTAGTCTATTTTTGAAGGTGCTGCAGCAACCCTAATTTAAATCAAAGCACCCCTGAAATATGAGTTGTTTGACTTATCTAGACTTCGTTTCTTCCAGTGTATAAAGTGTTTGGTTATTTCACCCCCTTCAGTTATGTTCTGGTTAATCAGAAATAATATAATAAAAAAAAAAAAAAAAAAAAAAAAAACAAGTAAACAAGCGTGATGGATGGTGCCTTAAGTAAAATATCAACCAATGCTTTGAGGAAAACGCTGCATTCAGGTGTTTTCTGAAATGTTCAGTCAGATTTTATGCACTTATTGATGGTGTGTTGGTGAAATGTTCACCAGCGAGGTGCTCTAATGTATCTGAGGCTGGTTTGTTTGATTATCTTTATAACCACAACTTAGTATCGATATGTAGATTTACTGAATCATTAGTAAACCTTTATCATTTTATTCAGTTACTAGTTATTTTAATTTATAATCCATTTTATCATTTACTACAGCTCAGATACGATGCATTAGTGAATGATAGGGGTGTGCAAAATAATCGTCATGATGATGCATCGTGATTCTAATTTTCGTGATCTACTGCATCGATTCTTGACGCCAAGTATCGATTATTAATAAAAAAAAAATGAATAAATAAAATTACATGAATGGTTGGCGAACATCAGCCAAAAACAAGTGTAATACAACTTCCAGTCCAGTAGATGTCGCTGCAGATGTATTGACGCACGCTGCCTTGTGTCACAAGCATTTCCGGCTGCGGGATACTGTGCAGAGTCATTCAAAAACAAAACATGGAGGAGAAAATAATGCAATGCATTGCAATAATTCATGTATCATGATGCATCGTGATAGAATTGCATCGTGGCCTGTGAGTCGTGATTCGAATCGAATCGTCACTTCTTTGGCAATACCCACCCCTAGTGAATGATGGAGTCAGTTATTTACAAAAATACTGAACAAGTTTCAAAAATATGTGTAGAAAGCAGTGAAATTAATCTTGTGTGGCCAGGCAGCTCTCTGCACTCCAAAAACCATCTAGAAATAAGTAAAACATTTTTTTTTTATATTTTTACTCTTAAAATAACTTGAATAATATCCACTTGAAATAAGACAATAACATGTTTTTTTTATTTTCATTTTACAATAAAATCGTTTTTTCCATTGGCAAAGTGTCTCACTTTCCTCCTCAATCCAAGAACAAATACATTTATTTTAAGAAAAAATTACTTATCTAGACTTCGATTGTTTCCAGTGTGGGTGCTCAGCCCCCCTAAACCTCTGGTCCTAGAATCGCCCCTGCTGCCAGTTAAAGGCAGTTTGGTTTTTGGCCTGACATGAATTTATCATCAGGTTAACTGTGAGTTTAAGGAGGTCAGAGACTTAAGAGCAAACAAAGATGAACATGATTATTAAATATGGCAGCCAGTTATCATGACAACGGTTCTAAGTTAAACTAAGGATATTTAAGCTGCAAACACTTTTAAAAAGAAAGAAGAATCTGAAACCTTTTGGGACAAATCCTGTATTTTTAAACAAAACTAAAATATTTCTATTTTAGTATTGGTTTCTGAACTGCAAAAAACGTATTTTTCTTAAAATAAGTGCATTTTTTCTTAAATTGAGGAGGAAAGTTAGACATTTTGCCAAAGAAATTAGACAATTTCCATTTAAAGTAAGAAATAAAAACTGTGTTGTCTTATTTCAAGTGCATTTTATTTAATTATCTTATTTTAAGAGTAAAAATCCTCATTCCATTGGCAAACTATCTCATTGACCTATTCAAATTAAGGGTAAATACACTTAATTTAAGAAATTTGTACTTGTTTCTAGATCATTTTTCCAGTGTGATGCTTCCTAACTGAAAAAACTATATCTAGATCAGTCATTTTTTCTTAAAATAAATGCATTTGTTCTTGGATTGAGGAGGTAATAGAGACATTCTGCCAATGGAACAAGACAAGTTACATTTAAAATAAGAAAAAAACACAATTGCAGTGTCTTATTTCAAATGTATATTATCTAATTATCTTATTTTAAGAGTAAAAATACTCATTCCATAGGCAAACTATCTAACTTACCTACTGAAATTAAGGGTAAATGTATTTAATATACAACATTTTTAATTGTTTCTTGATCATTTTTCCAGTGTGATGTTTCCTCACTGAAAAAAATGATATCTAGATGAGTATTTTTTCTTAAAATAAGTGCTTTTTTTCTTGGATTGAGGAGGTAATAGAGACATTTTGCAAATGGAACAAGACAATTCACATTTAAAATAAGAATAAAACTATTGCGTTGTCTTATTTCAAGTGCATTTTATCTAATTATCTTATTTTTAGAGTAAAAAACCTCATTCCATAGGCAAACTATTTCACTTACCTACTCAAATTAAGGGTAAATACATTTAATTTAAGACATTTGTAGGCTACTCATTTCTAGATCATTTTTCCTGTGCTGTTGGTTCTTTTCCCTCATTTTCTTCTGCAGTTTTAAAGATGAGGAAGAAGAGGGTGGGAGGAAGGTAGAAGTCACATTAGAAGAACTCTGGCGACATAATGTGAGTTTTTCTCCCTCTGCTTCTTGGAGAGGATTCTTACTTGACGTCGGTGACGCAGTGGGTCTCGTTCTGCCGCTCCGGGTCCATGTCTCCGTGCGCAAAGGCCACCAGCCACCAGCTCATGGCGAACAGCAGCCAGCTGCTCACAAAAGTGGTGGTGAAGATGACGAGCGTGAAGCGCCATTTCAGGTCCACCAGCGTGGTGAAGACGTCCTGCAGGAAGCGGCCCTGCTCGCGGATGTTCTTGTGCGCCAGGTTGCAGGAGCCATTCTTGGCGATGAAGCGCGCCTTGTTGACGCGGTCGCGGAACACCGGCTTCCTGGGCAGCCGGGAGGCGAAACCCGGCACCCCGAACTCCTCCGGGATGATGCTCTTTCTGGGTAACATCTTCCTCCTCTTCTTCAGCAGATGCTGCCTTCCTGAAGCCTGGTCTCAGTGCGTCTTTACGCGCGGAAACATGTTAAAAACGCGCAAAACAGTTTTAGTTCCAGACTTTATTTTGGTGTGTGATGGGAGTGAGCGCCGCGCGCCGCCTCTGCTGCTCTCCTCTGAGGGCTGGACAGTCTCCTCTGTCCTGTTTGACGTCCTCCAACTTCCAGAATCCAGTCCCGACTCGGACTGGGAGCTGCTGCTGCCTTCAAGGACTCCTCCAGCACTGTCGGAAACCAGCAAATTACACTCACACTGCAAAAACTATCCAGAAATAAGTCAACATTTCTTAAATTAAGCGTATTTACCCTTAATATGAGTATGTAAATAAGATGATTTTCCAATGGAATAAGATATTTTACTCTTAAAATAAGATAATTAGACAATATGCACCTGAAATAGGACAATATACCAGTTTTTTTCTTATCTTAAAAGTAAAATGTCTTGTTCCATTGGCAAAGTATCTCACTTACCTTCTCAATTCAAGAAAAATATGCACTTATTTTAAGAAAAAAACTACTAATGTAGATTTTTATTTTTTCCATTTGCACACTGAAAAAATGATCTAGAAATAAGTAAATATTTATGAAATTAAGTTTATTTACCCTTGATTTGAATAGACAATGAGATAGTTTGCCAATGGAATGAGTATTTTTACTCTTAAAGTAATGTAATTTGATAATCTGCACTTGAAATAAGTCAATGCAATTGTTTTCTTTTTTTTTTATGTAAATTATCTTGTTCCATTGGCAAAATGTCTCTTTTTATCTCCTCAATTTAAGAACAAATACACTTATTCTAAGAAAAAATGACTTATCTAGATTTAGATTTTTTCCAATGCAGCATAAAAACATGCATCATATTTCATTTTAAACAGCAAATTTACCTTATTCTAAAGACGCATCACATGCTGGAAATACATTTGATGAATTAAAATGTCCCACTGAACTCAAATTTACATGAGCTCCATCTTTTCAATTTGAAACAGCAGGCTGGTTGAATATTTGTCATGGATTTTGATTTATTAACCAATTTAGATTAGTTTTTACATATTTTAAAAAAAATAAAACAAACGATTGAGACGCATTATTCACTCAATATCTTTTTTCATCACAAAGTTTGTTTTTCCTCTTCTTTGAAATGATGGTAGCCAGAAACACAAATGACTTTAAAATTTGTGTTAAATGAACAACTTTTCTGGGGTCAATTAAGGTTAAAAGTCATGATCAGTTCAACAGGCAGCTCAGATCTCAAAGAAAATATAAACTGGAAAAAATATTAAGAGATTTTTTAAAAAGTTTTCTGCTCCTGTTAAAGATTCAAAATCTGATTTTTGCCTTAAATTTGTAAAGAAAATTATGCTAAACTTAAATGAGCAATTAAAAGTAAAAAGACATAATTATCTGACGACCAAAATGCGATTTGCACATACACCGCTAGAGGAAGCCATTTAGCAGCATATTCTTCCTGCTATTCCCAACTTTTCAGTGTTTTCTTGGAAAAAAAAAAGAGACAGGCTTTATTTAAAACAAAATTTATTGTCATTTCATGTGTAGAAAAAAATATAGGCACAAATAATCAGCTGTTTTATATTCTTTAAACCATCAGATATGAAAACACAATTGGTAAAGCTCAGAATCTATAAAAATCATACAAAAGTGTCATTTAACATGAAGATGTGTGAATTCAGATGAAGTGAGACTTCCTGCATAGAGCTGCCGATGATTTAACGTCGACATATTTAATTAGACACCGTTAATCGGTTTAATCAACAGTTTCTTTCAGAGTTTGTTTTGTTAAAAGTCCAACAGAAACAGAATGCAGGAGTAAATATGACGGAGATTTAGAGAAACAAGGTGATAAACAGGAGAGGAAGAGCTGAAGGGATCAGAGATCTGAACATCGCTGCTGAGAGGAAGAAAAATAAACGTTTGGATGTTTAACTGAACAAGACAAAAAACAGAAACATCAGGGAGGAAAGTCTTTGAAATAAACACTGGTGACCCAATAAATCTGGTGTTTACTTTGTACGGTAGATAAGTCATAAAGTCCTGAACAAACTTGTTAAAATGGTTTAATCAAGAAAGCAAAGGGACGACATCACAGCTTCCAGAGAAAATAAACGAGGAAATCAGGCTGAAATTAAGGAAATATTATAGAGTTTAAAAGCTAGAATTAGGATCCAATACAAGTTCAGACATTTGGAGATTAAATATGTAGATTTCTTTATGCTCTGCAACTCGGATCTATTTATCAGAGAGCTACACTGGTGAATAATGATCAGGGAAAAATATGAATCCTTCTGCAAACTATCACTCTGCATTATTTATAGAAACTACACTACTTTAAAGACTCACAGATTTAATGTCTCCCTAATTCAGGAAGACCTGTTGGTCAAAGAGAAGAATTTATGGCAGAAATGCCTCATTTGAAGCTGAACTGAAGTGGAGAATAAAATAATTTTATTAGAAAAGGTTTTATTGATACTTTACAGAAAATCACCTCCCCGGCTAACAGCAGCTCTCCTCTGATGGTTCAGCAAAGCATGACTGCAGACAGACAGCAGGTTCAGCGGCTGCAGGCGGAGCCGCCGCACCTTACAGTGTTCGCACTAAAGTCTGCACAGAAATACAGCTGATAGAGCGGAGTGACGGCAAACGCACACCAGAAACAATCTAGATCAAACAAATATGTAGCTGTAAAAGTTTGAATATGAGAATATTAAGTCAAAGAAATGAAAAAGTATGTTTTTGTTTCTTGAGTGAAGATAAACTATTTGTTTCTGATCTATGTTCCCATCCATCAAGACATTTTCACAACTAGCCTTATGAGCCCGATAATTAAAAACGTCCCTAAAAGGTTCATCATGATTGACGAAGAGTCACTAGAATCTTCCTCTTCCTGATGTGAGCGACCAGTTCAATCTGCTCTATCAATGGTACATCTGTGGGAGAACCTTGCAATAAACCTTAAGTGTATAATACAATAAAAAGCAACTTCTTTTACAGTGAGAAAGCTGCGTGAGGCACCAAACACCTCTGGCTTCATTATTGCTTAATATCAGTGATATTATAGTATAGATAAAAGTGGTGCCATACGTAAAAGTTAAACAGCTTAAAAAATCATTGGTTATAAAAGGGCCTGAAGGCTCAGCATTTATAGAAACTCCCCAAAGGAGAAAGGGAGGTAACAAAGTTGGGGGCTTGTCCGGGATCTTTTGTTGTAACTAAGAAATCCAGCTACATTTCACTTAATGTTCACAAAAAAATAGTTTTTAAAACCTTTAAAACCAAACATCAGAAAAAAGCTTTATATAAAGGAAACCATTAACTCTGCTGGGACTACTTGACGCAGCGAATTGACACACACCGTCCTGAGAGAGTTTGTGTTGAAAGCTGCTCTATGTGAGCGAGGCTAACTCAACCATTGCTTGATTTCTTCGTGGAATTTATTTTCACATTGAAAGCTCTTTTCTAACCTGGAGACATTTTGATTTGTGGTAAATTTAAGAGGATGGTCATAAATAAGGCTATTTAATCATACACCGTAACATATAAAAAATTAAAAAAAGAGTAATTTCGACAGAATAATTAGCAGAAACGCAGGTAGCTGCTAATAACTGCTAGTTGACGTTTAATTTTCTTTTAATAAAGTTTTTTTGGAATTGAATTAATGAGGAACAACCTTGTAACCTAAACGTTAGTCATAACTATTTCATTTTAAAGGCTCGATCAAGTCTTTGATCCCAAATCATTTTTTTTTGTGAAAACATCGAAACCAAACACTAAATTATTTATAAACATAATTGAAACTCTAAAATCACGTCTGAATATATAAATCCCCCCTCGATGATCACATGTTTAGTGCTGATGCATGAACCTAAGTGAAATGGCCTGTTGATCCAGGAGGACCTTAGCAGTACACCGCATCCAGTCGCCTCCGCAGCTTCCTGCTGTATCCTTGGCTTAGACATGGACTTCCTGTTTGTCCTCCTTGCATATTAAAGTTTAGAGTAAAGATGTTTAGGAGTGAGACGGATGAGTCTGACGGCCATCGTCCGATCAGGGGACTACATGTCGGCTCTGACGAAGGAGGCGAACATCCCGTCCTCCTGCTCCAGCAGAGTTTCCGGTTTGTCGTACTCCAGGATGTTTCCTCTCTTCATCACGATGACCAGATCGGCCGTCAGGATGGTGTGGACCCGGTGCTGCACAAACACAAAAACTAGTTAGGTTATCTGTTTCCAAAGCCCTTTCTGACACGGTCAGAGCCAGGGCATGCTGAGTCACCAGTTGCTATGGTGATTCCCGCCTTTTCTATGAAGATTTACAGGAAACAGAAACAGTTGTGTTAAAAGTGAGAGAGCAGGACCTTCTAGAAGCCAGGTCTGGAAACTTTATACATCTAACAGCATTAGGGTTGCCAACTCCCTAAAAAAAAAGGACACTTCATGTGCGTGCCAGCTGACCCGATTGCCTTTACCCCTCCTGGAGTGGGGATTTTGTGTGTGAAATGATTTTTTTTACTATTTGACTCAAATCAGCATTGAATCATTATCGCTGACTTTATTCACCCTGGTAGTTGTTTTTTCCCATTCCTCCCAATGTTTCTGCATCCTTTTTTTTTTTTTGGAGGAGGAGCATCGAAGGTGCTCCGCCCCCAAAAGTAGTGTCAGCATTTAAATTACTCAGTTCGTCCCCCATACTGCTCCGTTGTCTCCTGCTATCTTCTCTGTGAGCAACACTTGGTTTGACCAATGGGATGAGGGGATTCTGGATAGTTACATATATGTTGTCAGCTCATTGGTCAGAACGCAGGACAGGACCCGGGAACAAGTTTACCGTAAGTTTTGTATCTAATGTGCCCACTTTTTATTGAATATTTTTTACTCTCACAGTAATACGGGACAAAGTGCGATCCTTTTTCCACTTATTATGAGACAGGTACTTTTATTTTCTAAATAAAGAACGATTCCGTTTTTCAAGGGATGGTTGGTAACCCTGAACAGCCTAAAGACAGGAGATTTTCAAATTCCCCAGAACCACCAGGAGGGGAATCCAGGGGGCGGTGAGAGTGAGTGGGCGTGTCTCTCTGCCTTCTGGGCTCGGACTGGTCAGAAACCTGAAATTCCTCCATTAGAGGGAGACATCGGACAGGTCCCAGCTCAGGGGCCGATGACATCACAGCGCTGCGTGATGGCTGTCCAAACCCAGAAACCCACCTAATGCTCCTTCACAGCACCATATTTCCCATAATTCAGAGCAGACGGGCTGAGCTCGGGTAGTGATGGCGGACGCCAGTGGGAAAAAAATTTCGTAAAAATTTCTGGGACCCAAAGTAACTTTCAGGATGTTTTGAGGTGAGACTGGGGTTTTTTCTTGAACTCAAAAATCTACTAATTTTATTTAGATCCCAGTTAATTTAGCAGAGGTTCAGTGTCTTTGGGCTCCGGTTTTCTTCGCCAGCCGTCAGCGCTCCCCTCCCTCTGATTAGCAACTGATCGCCTTGAAGCTACCGTTGGGTAAAACCACCGGCAGGAAGATAAACACATTTAGCTAATACTGAAACTGTCATGTTTGGCTTATTTAAGACTTTTATCGCTTATTCAGCAAATCTGGGCAAAAGTTACAGGTCAGCTTCAAAGATGATTATAGCACCATTTACACTACTCTTTTGAAACCATGCTGAGATCAGTCTGGGCTAGGCTTGCCACCTTTCAGAAATGGAAATAAGGGGTGCGGGGGTCCTAAATAAACTTCATTGTCGTGGGGGGTCTGGGTGTCCTCCCCCAGAAAATTTTTTATTTCTTAGATGCAATTTTCTGCATTTTAACCAAACATTGTCCTGTTTCAGCTCAACACAGAACCATACTTTTATTTTATTCTTTGAGCGAGGCATGTATTTCTCGCAATAAGCCACAGCTAATTACAATAATCAATAAATGGAAACGTTAAGTTTGTACAGTCGGCCACAGAAATACTCTCACAAAACCAATGGCGTGCTTGACCTGGTAGAATTGTTTTTGGTTTATTTTGGTTGTTAGTTACCCAGTTTATTAAATGACTCACTTTTGTTACCATGGCGGCGCTCCAAGGCAGCGGCCAAAAGCAGCTCCTCTTGACAATTTTCAGATAATATGCAGCTTAAAACGATATAAACTGGACATCGGGCCCGCATCTATGGTCGCTGGCGCATGCTGGAACTACGGTTACAAGGTGTTTTGAAACGTTTTTGACCGTTTTGGGGAGCTGCGTAGTGCTGCGGACTGATGTCAACAAGACAACAGTGGAAAATAACGGACAGAGGAGGAAATGCACAAGAAAGCGGGGCTGCAGAGGGGGGCTAACTGGGAAGCTAAAGTGAAATCCCCACAGACCACTGCTTCCATTAATCCTGCTCTCCGCTGGTTGGAACACAAAATGGATCATTTCCGACTGGAACTCTCTTCAAAAAGAAGATATGTAACTGCTGCGCCATCATTCTGACTAGGGATGCACGATATTGGGATTTTGGCCGATATCCGATATGCCGATATTTTAAAACTCATGTAGCCGATAACCGATATCGATACCGATGTTAAAGCTGGACAAAAATAAGTAGTCATTAAAAATAGCAGTTTTGTTATCCATTTCTGACACTTTGAAAAATAATATACTCAAATATATTTTCATATGCTGATATCAAATTGATTTTTAAAAACGCGGTATCGATCTATTTTACTTTTTAAAATCTCGTGAAATTTAATCGTTCTGTTACAAACTCTCGTGATATTTTGCAAATTCTTGTGAGATTTTGTTTGTAAAATAGTTCGATACCGCGTCAATATATCAACATATAGAAATATGGCAAAATTTCGTGAATTTTCGGGGGATTTCGTAGCATAACGATGACATATAGCAATATTTCATTAGTAAAAGAGATTGATATGGTGTTTTTAAATGGCAATATATCAGCATATGAAGATATTGGGATATTTTAACGTATCAATATTTTTTCCCTCGTGTTTAGACGTTTTTAAGTCTGTAAAAAAGAATTTTTTGAGGAAGAAGAAGAAGTAGTATTTTTTTTTTTTTTTTTTTAGACTTTAGAAACTCAGAAGCTGCTCAAATATCGGGTTAAATATCGGTGGGGTGGTCGATGTCCGATATTCAGTTTTAAGGCCGATACAGGCCGATACCGATAGGGGGCCGATTATATTGTGCATCCCTAATTCTGACGGGGCCTTGGCTGCATCCAGCAGGGTGCTGTTGGCCTGGGGGGGGGCTGATGCTGTACCGCGCCGATGGAGGCGGAGAACTGTGTGTCAATGAGGGCTCCTCTGAGACTGTTCCAAGGCAATCTTTGGTATCAAAAGGGGAAGCACAGCCCTCTGCAGGTGAAAAAGAGGAAAGCACTCTAGATGCTTCCCTGTCAAATGCAGAAACATCCCCAGCTGGCTCCTCCAGGCCCCCTCTGGCTTCCACACCTTTTCCAGCATCGTCTGTCGCTGCTAAACCTGCCGATGGCACCGCTGCTGCTTCAACCACGTCAGTCTCATCAACCCAGGGGGCTACCACCCTCACATCATCGTCCTCTTCCTCCGCTGAGCCAGGAGAAGCGAGTGCTTCAAGATCTGGAGGCAGTAGTAGCAGCTCAACAACAACTGCTGCTGCTTACCTTATCCAGGCTGCACTTTAAAAAATGAAATTGACTAGAGAGCTGTTCTAAATGAAGGCAGATCTAAATAAAAATATCATAGAATCACCACACAGCAAACACATCTCCATCAAAGAGCATGCAGGAAGGGATTCGATACCAACCAGGCAGTCATTGGCGGTCAGGCTTTAGCAGACCCAGACTCTGATTCAGCCGGAAAGCAGGAAAACAAGCAGAAACCGGAGGAGAGAGGGAGAGCTGGGTCTGAACTGATCCGGGTCTACTTGTGGGTCCTCACTAGCACACTGAAGAGGCTCTCCTCCTGTGCTAGAAGGTTGGGACCAGAGTCACTTTCCACCAAGATCCCAGAGGAGAAGACCAGCACCTGCTCCGAGTCCAAGATGGAGGAGACACGGTGCTGGTGGACAGGATGAGGAGGACGAAGTGGTTGGTAGGAAACGGGAAGAGAGGAAGATAAGAGAGAAAAAATGAAAGCAGGAGAGAGGAAACAGGTGGAGGAAGAAAATCAGCTCAGTTCATTCAGCTCAGTTTGAAGAAAGAAGGAAATGAGGGAAAGGAATCAGAAACTTTTAAGAGCAGAGCTGCAGATCCGAGAACTTACTGCGATGGTGACCACGGTTCTGTCCGCGAACGCCGTCATCACCACCTTCTGCAAGATGTTCTCCTGCACAGAACAACTCAGAACATGAGCGCTCCAAACAACAACGGCTGCAGAAAGCAGAGCAGCAGCAGGAGGAGGACGGAGAACCTAGACCTTTATGCTTAGAGCAGAAAACAGATCCAGATCCAAACCATCAGGAATCCACAGCTTAGAAAATAATTAAGTTTAATTCACTGTTTTAACTATTTCCACAAGATAAAAATATTTCTCCACTTCATAAAACATAAAACTAAATTTTAGACTAAGAATAAAAGTGAAGAGGTCTGATCTAATATTCTATCTCTGGAGCAAAATGCCAGGATTCTCTTATGGAGACACTGTGAACTGATGTTCGGTTCTGCTTCATTGTTCTCAACAGATTTCCTCCTGCTTCTGCTAAGCAGTCAGGTTTAGCGACCATGACACATCCACCTCCGTGCCTAAAGATGTCCTGCTGTCCAAACCCACCGTGGCCATGTCTATGGACGCTGTGGCTTCATCCATGATGAGGATGCTGCTTTTTCTGACGAAGGCTCTGGCGAGGCAGAAGAGCTGCCGCTGACCGACGCTGAAGTTCTCCCCTCCCTCTGTCACCATGGCGTCTGAGGAAGGACAGACAGCTCCGTCATGTACAGAACCTCGTAGCTTAGATCAACTAGTTCTGGTTACCGTACCCAGTCCTCCAGGCAGAGCTTTGACCATGTTCTTCAGCTGGGCGATCTCTAGCGCCTCCCACAGGCGGTCGTCGGTGCACTTCCTCTCTGGATCCAGATTGAACCTGCAGCAGGATGAGTTCACTGTCAAAGTCCAGGAATAAAAGATTTGAGACTTTATGTTCTCCAATGTGCTCCTTCCCCTGTCCAAACAGAGAACCACATGACCTCACTGGAAAAATCTAATCTAGATAAGTCGTTAACTCTTAAAATAAGTGCATTTGAGTAGGTAAATGAGATAGTTTGCCAATGGAATGAGGATTTTTACTCTCAAAATAAGGAAATTAGGTAATATACACTTTAAATAAGACAATGAAGTAGTGGTTTTTTGTTATTTAAAATGTAAATTGTCTTGTTCCATTGGCAAAGTCTCTCTCTTACCTCCTCAATCCAAGAACAAATGCCCTTGCTTTAAGAAAAAATGACTTATCTAGGTTTAGATTCTTTCCAGTGAGTGAGGCACCTCCATGTTTCCTTCTGCTCCATCATTCAGATACAAAAACATCAAATTAAGACAGATGAAGAGGAATGAGAACCCGTTCAACGCAGCAGAACAGGCGCTGACGGAGTCCAAGAGCCAGAATAATCCAGAAACTCTCTGAAAACCCAAATCAAACATCGGTTCTGAATCTCCCTCACGTTTCAGAAACAGCAGAAATCTGATCTGGTTCTGTGGGGGTGATGCGGATTAGGAACCTCTGGATGAAAGAAAGCTGATCAGAACCGGATCGACCAGATGGAAGCAGATAGATGAAGAACCAGCTCAGACTGCTTCTCTCAGAACATCCGGACCGGACTTTGGTTCCCCTTCCATGCAGCAGGTGATCCAGAACCAGTGAAGTCTGAGGTTCTTCTGGTCTTTAAACGTCCCTCAGAGAGCCAACAATCTGACTTCTAGAATTTAAAATGGCTTCAGTGACTTAATCTGTTAACGATCAGAGAGCCTGCGCAACCGACGGAGGTCCATTTCTGGAATAACGTTTAAAAAAAATAGAACCGTTTTATTGGTCGTCTAGTTGAAATCTTTGAAGTCGTCGCTGTTCCAACTGTTGCACTTCTTTAGAGTGGTGCCCAACTTTACACGAGTGAATAAAGTGCATGTGATTGGTCCTTTATCAAGGGGGCGGGATTGTTGTGGAGGAAGGTTCACAAGCAAGTTTCGTTGTGGCCGATGTCTCTGAATCATCTTGCTAACCAGTTAGTAACTTAGCGCTAGTAGGGTCCCAATGGGAAATTCCATTGGGACCAAGTAGCACTAAATTGGTGACTTAGAAACGACACTGTCAAGGAACGCTATGGACAGAGGAAACATGCAAGAGGAGGAGAGTTTAGTGTCGGAGGTCGTGGATGAGTCTCCTCAGTCATCCATTTTTTATTTAGAGGAGGAAAGATGAAGATGTTGTGGGAACACAGCCGTACATGTTTGAGCCCTTGCCTCGCAACGCTGCCAGTTCTGTTAGCTCTACGCCTGCTGAAGACACAGACGTCCATCCCCATGAACACTGGGACGGAACTCAATGGGAAAGGAAGGGATTCTGATTCTTATTTCAACCGTTGCGTATATTAGCTGCGACATGTGAATTGAGATGCTATGACTGAAAAAACTTGATTGACAGACGACCGTTGATATATGATTGGCCTAATTTAGGTGTTCAGGCTGACGTATAACTAACTGGCCTGCAGAAGATAACGGGAAGAAAAACACAGATTTTAAGACAGGGTTTTTTTTTAAAAGAGAAATTTTCTAACTTTTGGGACAATATCATCTGATAAAGAGTACATTTATATACATGTTTAAGCCAGAATGATTTGACATTTAAATATGAATTGCCCATAACTTGCCCATAACTTTATAAAGTTTTATTATTATTATTATTATTTCCATCAGAGAGATTTTTGACATTTCTTTGTAGAAATTAGAGGTCTAGAAGTTGTCAGAGCATCCCGAACCCTTCCTTTCTTTACTTCGTTAGCAGGATTTATTTTTCGTCAGCTGGAAGCAGCTCTGGTGTCTCTGACGGTCTGCTGACGTCCAGCAGTCGCTGCGGAGCGTTCACCAAACAAACCGCAACGTCAGAACAAACACAGCGGGGCTCATCCTCAGCGTGTGAGCGTGAGGAGGAGGACGGAGACGGGGAGTCCTTTGTCTCTCTGCTGACCTCCCTGTTTGTGACGTCTGTGGCAGAAGTGGGATTAGGTCCCGGTTCCACTTCCCACTGGGTTCTAAACCTCTGAACCCGCAGCTGCGACCGACAGACACCCAGAAACAAGAACTAGACCTTTTCTCTGTTTCAGGATGAACCAGTTTTTCTGCTGGGATTTTATTCTATGATGTCTGGGAGGTTTGGATCCATTCTGACAGTACCGTCTAAAAACACAGAAAACAGGTGAAGGATTCTGGGCGACCGGAATCACAGGGTGTCATTAAAACCTATTAAGTCATCAGGTCCTGTTGCCACAAACCGAGTCACTCTAAAAGCTCTTAAAGTCGTAGGGAAGTCTTTTATTTAAATGTCAAATCATTATGGCTTAAACATGTATATTAATGTACCGTAAATCCTCTAATATTGGCCTGTATTCCATTAGCAGTCGGGTCTCTAACACTGGCCGGTCTCGCTGTCGGCAGAGGTAAATAATGGTCGGACTCGTATACAGGCCAGGGCCATAATTAGAACCAACGATGTTCCCAACAACTTGTGATAGTCACATACAAGTATCACAGGGGGGCGATGTTTGCGAACGAATCCAACCCATTAGCATGGGAAGTCCCATTCTTACACAGCGATCGCAATGACCTTACACAATCGTTCTGATCAGAAAGACACATGATTACCGGTAGGTCTGGTGATAAACAGGCATCGTTAAAATGACAGAATTATGTTCACCTTTGTTGTTCAGAATTTCCCTTTAAATGTATGATACTGGTAGCCCACTTCCAATTAGCCTGCCTTAAATAAAATGTTGCTGTGATGGCAGAACAGTTTGCATTAATTTTTTTTTACAACTTTGTTTCGCAAGTCAGTTTGGCCAAGATTCCATTCTGTGTCTGTTCAATAAATGATAATTGTTTTTAATGAAGAGTAATTTTCATGTGAATGTGCTTTACTGGAAACATCCATGTTTGTCAAAGAACACTACTGCCACCTACTGGTTTGTGACGTCACGGTGCGGTATCGGCTGTTGATCAAGTCCCAGTGCTGTATCTGGTGTTTGTCACACTATTATCCAAGTCATCTTGAAAACATTCTTCTTCCACATATCTTCTACATATTACGTGTTTTTTCTCTGGCCAAAAGTTCGATGGCAAATCCTCCCTCTTCAAGTTGGCGATCCAACGACCAACCCGTCCGTGGAGGATCAGGAATCGGAAAGGTGAAATAACTCACTTGTTTTTCCACTTTTCCTCGATGTATTCCAGCATCCAGCTGCCATGCACGTGGGCATTGTCAGTTTCACTATAGCTCTGGTGAATTTCAATGTTGAAGTCCTCTGGAAATCTTCAATAATTGTTGTTGATTGCAGATGTGTCTAGTAGTTCCCATTGATTTTGCTTGTAAAATGGGGAGAATGGCGCTAGGCTTACCGCACCGTGACGTCACTGCTGGAAGATGGCAGGAGGGAGGTGTTACTGTATTTGGGAAAAATGGCCGCTCCCAGAATTATTATTATTTTTTTTTTTTACTGATTTATGCTAAATTCTTTAAATCACCGCAAACGTGTTAGTTTTAGGTATAAATAATGATCCGTTGATCATTCCTTGCTAACCGGACTTTTCCTTTAATATAATAAATGTTCATTTCTTTCATACTGTTTATCTCGTTATTTTTTCTTTTCACGATTTTCCTGACGTGTTTTTGCCTCCATGCGTCTCAGGGTTCACATCCAGGGACTGAAAACCAACTGGTGACGCTGCTTTACCCTGAGTTATGAGAGAAAACCTAGAAAATGAAAACCAGATGTTCTTCTTTAAGCAGTGATGTCACACAGATGTGGTTGTTCTCTATGTATCCTGTATAAAAATAGAATCTCTAAGAAGTTGCCTTTTCTTTCTGCCTAAAGATGCTGAAATAAAAAGTTAAAAAACCCATCTATTTAATTTAATGAACATTTCTAATTAAGGTACGGTTCCTTCCTTGTTTTTTCTATTTGAAAACAAAATCACAAAAAAAAGGGTTTGATTTTTCAGTTTTTGGGTTTTTAAAACCTAAATACAAACAAAATGAAAAATTGAAATAAATAAAAATCTGCTGCTTTTAGTTTTCCTTCCAGCTAATTTCCAGCTGTTGTTTAATTTTCTATTGAAGTCTGTGTTGTTTCAGAAACAAATAACTGCAGCAGCTGCAGGTTAAAATTATTAAAAAAGGTTAATCTACTAGAGGTTTGTGTCTTTAAGCTAAAAATGGCAGACACAGCCTCAGAAATAAAGAGGGTAAATAAACAAAAACCTTTACAGTTAATATTTTTTTTATGTTTCGGTTTTCTCTTGTCTTATTTTGAAAAAGAAAAACCAAACAAAAGACCAGACCGTGAACATTTCTCCACAGGCTGGTTTTAATCCTATGCTGGAATCAATTACAGTTGGCAGAAACCATCAACTGTAGAGGAGCTTAAACTGGGACCAGTAAAAGGCCCCAGTGTTCTGTCAGACCAGCATACCCATAGTCAGTACCTGTTTATCCCTTTAGTTTTGTACCAAAAATAGACTTTAAACTATCTCAATGGGCATATATCCCTTTAGCCATGTACAAAAAAACTATTTAATTACTTACTTTTTGGTGTTCTTCGAAGCGCATGGCGATTTGACCTTACATAGTTTTTTTTTGTACATGATTAAAGGGATACACGTCAGTTGAGGAATTTTAAAGTCTATTTTTCATACAAAATTAAAGGGATAAATGCTAATCTGACGTCTTGCGCGTGTGTATTGACTATAGGTATGCCGTTCTGACCGGGTATGCTGATCTGACAGAACACCGGCTCCCCTACAGCTCAGGGTACCTCCTCCCCCCTAGGGCTGCTCTCTTTCCTGGTCTTTGGGTTTTGGACCCAGAATCCCGGTATCTGAGTTCCTAATTAGAATTTTGATCACAGTTTATTTTGGTTGTTTATTTTTTAAAGGTTTTAGACTGAGATCAGTACCCATCCAGCTCAGGTTTCTACCTTGCTAAGAAGTCTGACTTTTAAAACCGGGAATTAGTGTTGCACTGATACCGATACCGTATTGGGTGGGGCCCCGATCCAGCACTAAAATGGTGGTATCGGCATCGGCGAGTACTAACAAATAGGGCACCGATACCATTTTGATGTTTGTATGTCAATTGTGAACGCAACCTTCTCTCTCCCGACACTCACTAGTGTTAACTATCACTATTGGGCTGCTCCAGACCAATGAGAGCGGGCCAATATCTAATCTTAACCAATGCCAGGGCAGCTTTTTCATGCGGTTGAAAAAACAAACCAGGAGAAGAAAATGTCTGCGGTGTGGAAGTATTTGCGTTATAGAAACGCCAGCAAGTACATTGGCGAAATGCAAGATTTTCAACCTGAAAGTTTCGAGAGGTGACGTTAAACTGGGCAGTTTCAATACCTCCAAACTGATCAAATATTTGAAGTCGAAACATGTGAACGAACACAAAGAGTTTGAGACAGCCAAGAGACACCGGAAAGGACCGCCGGACAAACTTTGGTCTAAAACGTTCTACTGGATTCACTTTGTATTAGTCTTTTTCCAGCTTCACAAAGGTAGGCAGCAGCTTGACAAAATGCAGTTCTTCATATATACACACACATCAATTTCAAACAGATGTTATCGGTATCGGCCGATACTGCACAGCCAGGTATCGGGGCCAAAAAATGGCATTGGTGCAACACTACCGGGAATATTTTAAGATGTTTTCATAGATAAAAACAAGTAGATCCTAGTTTCTAATTTTGGAAAAAGAAAGTTATCGTCTTAACCTTCCTCTTCAGCAGCTATAAGCCCCGTTAAAATCTGATCCGGTGCTTTAAAAAGTAACACAAGCAGGAAAACAGGAGCAGGAAGGTGCAGTGAGAGATGGAGGTCAGGCGTTATATAAGGACACCTTCTTGTTTGGGGGGGGTGGAAACCAGAACCAGAAGCTGTGTGTTTGTGTACCTTATGGAGCCGCTGAACAGCACCGGATCCTGGAGGATGATGGAGAGCCGTGACCTGAGCGTCTGCAGAGGAAGCTTACAGATGTCGATCCCATCGATGACGATCTTCCCTGCAGACATGACAGCTTCAGCTCTTTAGAAGTTCTAGTGTTCTCTGCACAACATAACAGAACCGGTCCAGTTCCGAATGATTTATCCTTGGATTGTTTTAGTTTACAGGCTGCCTTCAGCTTAATGGCTGTCTGCTCTGATGGATGTTCTCCAGCTGTGATTCTTGTGGAGGGGGCTGGCAGCGGGCCTTGGGTTCTGTGCCAGGTTTGAGCCGGGCCTAAAGGCCTACGGAGCACTGGTTACTGTACCCTCACACTATTGTTCCAGCTGCTGTGGGATTATCTTAACCCTCCTTTGGGGAGGTTCTTCCAGCTGGGTCCTGGTTACTATCAGCTGATGCTTTTAGATGATGGCGGCGACCAAAGGTTTGCTAAAAATGTTTGCTGTATCAAGATAAGGACGAGAGTTTTCTTATTTTCCCACAGAGCCGAGCTTTAAGCATCGAGATGAAAGGGAAGATATTTGTTTATCGTCAGCCCCTCCATGAGGCTGATAGTGTCTCTACTCTACTGGTTGATGTGGGATGACTGGTCCGATGGAACAAACCACCAGTTCAATTCAATTCAGTTTATATCTATAGCACCAATTCACAACATGTCATCTCACGGTAATTTCCAGTTCACCAGATCATTCAGTCAAATTAATTCAAAGTTTTCTATCTAAGGAAAACCAGTTGATTGCATCGACTCATTGACTCAAAGGCAATCCCTCACAATAAGCATGCTTGTAGCGACAGTGGAGAGGAAAAACTCCCTTTTAACAGAAAGAAACCTCCAGCAGAACCAGGCTCAGTGTGAGCGGCCATCTGCTGAGGCTGACTGGGGTTCAAGGAGACAGAAGCAGAGATAGAAAATGCAAATGTAGAGGCGTCCAGGAAACACACAGCCAGGCAGACGGGTTCCGGGCCAGCTCCCATGTCAGAGGAGGAAGAGAGCACATCCAGTTAGTCATAGTCAAAGAAACAGGACTACATTGAAAAACAGGCCGATCTCCAACATCGATAAACAAAGGTGTTGATGGCAGCAGCACAGCTGATATTTCTCTCCAGGATGGAGTCACAGCCAAACAGGAACAGAGTAGATGAAGCTACTATGAGAAAAAGCAGAGAGAGCAGAACGTTAGAGATTGATCTAACAAATACTGCAGAATAGGAGAATAGAGATAGAATGATGAAAAAGGGGTCCCTATGTCCTCCAGCAGTCTAAGCCTATAGCAGCATAACTATAGAGATAGCTCAGGATAACCTGAGCCACTCTAACTATAAGCTTTATCAAAAAGGAAAGTTTTAAGCCTAGCCTTAAAAGTAGACAGGGTGTCTGCCTCACGGACTAAAACTGGTAATTGGTTCCACAGGAGAGGAGCCTGATAACTAAAAGATCTGCCTCCCATTCTACTTTTAGAAATTCTAGGAACCACTAGTAAACCTGCAGATTGAGAGCGAAGTGCTCAGTTAGGAACATAAGGAACAATCAGATCTCTGATATCAGATGGAGCTTGGCCATTTAAGGCTTTATATGTGAGATTGAGGGAGGTCTGGGATTAGGGCTGAATGTTGATGGTTACTGGGGATGAGCTGGAACGACGGTGTCCAAAGTGACCTTTAGACATTTCACTGATCCTAGGAGCCTCTATGGAGCATGAATGAAGTCATTGTTGGTTCCCCTCATTTAAAGAAAGAAAAACCAACAATGATCAAAGAAATAACATATAAATAAATCTAAAACATCTATGAAAATGAAAAAAATGAAACTTAGAAAATCCTTTGTGTTATGAGTCCAGTCCAGTTTGTTACTGAGGTGAACATCCAGGTATTTGAAACTCTCATCAAACATGTCTGGACTAAAATGATGGTTCCATTAACTTTATTTTAGCTGTCCAGCCTTTAGAGTCAATCTCTGCCATCAATGGTTCCTGTTCCTGTCAGTCAGACCTCTGCTCCTCTCAGCAGGTTTTCTGCTCCTCTCCTCATCAGCAAACTGCTCCAGGAGTCTCAGGCTGCCTTTTCCAGACGGCCTGTTCCAGCTCCTTCCAAAGATGCTCGGTAGGATTGAGGTCAGGGCTCCTAGGGGCCCCTTCAGAACAGTCCAATGTTTTCCTCTCAGCCGTTCTGAGAGGAACGGCTGAGAGACGGCAGGCACCGTGAAGGGAGGTGAAGTCACGTGACCAACGGGAAGCTTAAAGTAGTGATCATCAGTCCCAAGGATCAGTTACGTCAGTTCATTATCAAGTCCAATATATAGTCCATGCTCTACGTATATAGTAATGGAGGGATTAGGGATTAGGGCGGACGTTCGGACACAGCGATAGTCCCTGTTGTCAGTGACCCTCAAATAAGTTCAGGTACAAAAATCTTCTCTGATTGGAGGATCCCAACAGCACATGAGATTTTAGGCAACGGGAGATCCGGTTAAGATTTTAACAAGGAACGTAGTGAAAGCAACGGCTCTGAAATGTGCTCTATGAAGAGAGGAGGGACAAACGGTCAACAATTCACCTAAACATCCTAATTGCTCGTTAGTGAGTTTCCTATGTTAAAGAGACCAACCACAGAACAGCAACTAACCACCACCCTCCCTGCTGTATGACGTCCTTTGGTCATAAATTTTAAATTCTGTCTGATGATGCTAATGTTTCATATTTAATGGATCAGCAGGAGGCGCTGTTGCACCATCCAGTGAAATTTAAACACTAAATCTTCACTAAAAAATAATAATTTAGAGTCAGTTGGATTTTCTTTGACTGGCAATATGCTTCCTATAAATGTTCCTGAATTCTTCATTCAGATAATGGGGGAGCTAATTTCAGATCATTATTATTGTCCTGTTTTTCTTAATCTGTGTAACCATTTACCAGTTTTAGTCCGTGAGGCAGACACCCTGTCTACTTTTAAGGCTAGGCTTAAAACTTTCCTTTTTGATAAAGCTTATAGTTAGGGTGGCTCAGGTTATCCTGAGCTATCTCTATAGTTATGCTGCTATAGGCTTAGACTGCTGGAGGACATAGGGACCCCCATTTCATCATTCTGCTTCATTCAATCTCTATTCTCCTACTCAGCAGAATCTGTTAGTTCAATCTCTAACGTTCTGCTCTCTCTGCTTTTTCTCATAGTAGCTTCATCTGGTCTGTTCCCGTTTTGCTGTGACTCCATCCTGGAGAGAAATATCAGCCGTGCTGCTGCCATCAACACTTTTGTTCATAGATGTTGGACATGGGCCTGTTTTTCAGTGTGATCCCGTTTCTCTGACTGTGACTGGCTGGATGTGCTCTCTTCATCCTCTGGCATGGGAGCTAGCTCGGAGCTCGTCTGCCTGGCTGTGTGTTTCCTGGACGCCTTTTACAGCTGCCTTTTTCTATCTCTGCTTCTGTCTCCTTGAACCCTAGTCGGCCTCAGCAGATGGCCGCTCACACTGAGCCTGGTTCTGCTGGAGGTTTCTTCCTGTTAAAAGGGAGTTTTTCCTCTCCACTGTCGCTACAAGCATGCTTAGTGTGAGGGATTGCATTTAAGTCAATGAGTCGATGCAATCAACTGGTTTTCCTTAGATAGAAAACTTTGAATCAATCAGACTGGATGATCTGTCGAACTGTAAAGTGCCTTGAGATGACATGTGTTGTGAATTGGCGCTATAGAAATAAACTGAACCAAATTAGTGATTAGGAACATATCTGGACTTTTACCTTAAGCAGGGATAACTTTGCCACATGAAACTTTTTATATCGCAACTATGTTCAAACCGTTTTTTCCCAGCCGCATGCAAACCCACTGAAATATTTCAGTAGAACCAGGATGGAGAATCTGAGCCAGAGGAGCCGCAGCTCTGCTTTTATTTCACTGCTTTATAAGGAAACGCTGCAGACAGATAGCTCTTAATTTACAGTAAGATTAAATAAGCGGCCAGCTGTGTGTGTGTGTCTGGAAAAAGTGACGGTGTAATCTCTGAGCAACCTGCCAGGGAGCTTCCATCATCCTTCAGGGCAGAAACACAAAACCACTACAGCTGCTTGGAGGCTTTATCTCTGCTGTCCGCCTGAATTATGACCGGCGGCCTCTGTTATGCTTTTATTTGAATCCTCCACTTCAGGACGTCTTTAAAGAAACAACAGGCAGACAGAAGAAACAGGAGGACCTGCAGGATTGTTTATAGAGCGCTGAGAGCCCAGTGGAACAGTTTCTGTTATATAAACAGCAGCTAGTATCAGGCGACGAGGATGAAACATGTTTCACTACGAGGTCATTAATTCACGACTCATTTCACTATTACAGCTTCAGCTGCAGATGACAGGCTGCAGTAAAAAAAAAAAAAAAAAAAGCTGAAATAATAAGAGCAAGACTTTAGAAGTGATAATAACTCAGAATAGGTTCTGATCCGATGGTTTTTAGAGACTGAGCTTACGTCATTACATAAAAACGAGACATGTTAATCATGCAAATTTAAATACTTTACCACCAGGTGTGTCCACCGTGCGGTGCAGGGGCCCTTCGTGGGTTTTATAACGATGATATGGTTAGCACATTCAATTCAAAACTTCCATAAAAGGAAGTAGAGTTAGTAACCACGGTAACATTTCAGCTCTGGTTGCATCAGCAGAGCTTGTTTTGGACCATCAGGCCTCCGTATGAAATCAGTTTAAACAGCTGAATTCAGCCAAAGCCTGCCAGACGTTTGATCTATGACCCGGCATACCGCGTCAGACCAGCATACCATGCATGCGCAAAACCTTAGATTTGCATTTATCCCTTTAGTTTTTTACGAAAAATAGACTTTAAACTACCTCAACGGGCGTGTATCCCTTTAGTCATGTTCAATAAAAAAAACAATTAAAAGTGAGATCGCCATACGCTTAAAAAACACCAAAATGTAAGTAGCTAAATTGCTTTTTGTACATGACTAAAGGGATACGTGTCGGTTGAGGTTGTTTAAAGTGTATTTTTCATAGAAAACTAAATGGATAAACTAAAGCGATAAACAGGTTTTGACTTTGGGTATGCTGGTCTGACTGGGTATGCTCATCTGACAGAAAGGTTATCTGCTGCTCTCTTTACCATCACCCTAATGGATGGAGGACGTTTCTCAATGGACCCACCTTCAAAGATGTCCACCATGTTGAAGAAGGCCAGAGAGAGGGAGGACTTCCCGCTGCCGGTGCGACCGCAGATCCCCACCTGCCAGAGGGAGAGACGGCGCAGTCAATAAGCTGCAGCTGAATTCACGCCGCGGCGCCACAAAGCACACCTGAGTGATGACTGGGAGACGGGGGGGGGGGGGGGGGGGGTTTTATTTATTGTTATCCCTCGGTTTTTCTTTCGTTAACTAGTTCTGCAGTCTTAAGCCGATTTTAACAATTTTTATATCTAAACATTTAGCTTGTTCAGGAGAATTCTTCTATATCTTTTGATAAAGATATTTTTTGTAGTTTATGTGATATTCAGCTTTTTCTGTGATTTTTGGCCCTATTGAAATGCATGTTGAATTCTCAGATTTTAGCAAAATTTAGCTAAAAGTTCATTACCTTTCAACTTTAACTACTTCAGCATACTTTCAACTTTTAAATGTTCTTCAAACATTCAGCTGTTTCCGTTTAAGTCAGCTTTTTCATATCTTTAACGGTTTTTGTAAAATTGCGATTCAAATGTCTATGGGAGGGATTCTTCAACTGTCTGAGCTCTATCTGTTTTTTCCGAACAAATTCTTCTCATTTTTCACTCAATTTACATAAATTATAAATCAAAACTTAGAAATTTCTGTCAGGGTTCAGGAAATGTAACCCTCATTGGTGTGATGCTGCCACCGCCATGCTTTACTGAGGGGTTGATGGTGACTTCCTGCCACCCAACGTCTGCGCTCTGAAGAAGCAGGACTCAAATATATTTTCATTTCTATATTAGAGCAAAAGTCATGGTGATTAAAAAATAAAGTGAATGTGATTGGTTGCAGGGTTTTTGTGGTGGAAGGTTCGCAAGGAAGGTTGATTGATCTGAAGCATCTTGCTAACCAGTTAGCAACTTAATGCTAGTAGGTTTCCAATGAGAAATTCCATTGGGACCAAGTAGCACTAAATTGCTGACTTAGAAACGACACTGTGAAGGAACGCTATGGACAGAGGAAACATGCAAGAGGAGGAGAGTTTAGTGTCGGAGGTCGTGGATGAGTCTCCACCCTCTCCTTTCAATGGAGCGCTCACAGAGCTCAGAGTATTAAGTTAAAAGTAATCTTTTCTGTTGTTGTTCAATAAAAGTACGTTTTAAGATCTATTGAGTCCGGAATATTATACTTTGAAGCGTCACTATATGCAGTGTTGTGCCTGAACGCGTTCATTGAACGAAAGTTCATGAACTCGTTCATATTTTGGGCGAACGTGAACTGAACGTACTGTATTACCGCCTGATGAACGTTATTGTGAACTCGTTCATTCTGGTGTCTGTGAACGGCACGCTCTCTCAGTTCAGCTCCGTTCAATAGGTTGCCAGATTTCTATAGAGCCCTCCAGGTGAAACCCCGGCTAAATCACACCGTAAACAGGCCTTAATATGTAGCGGGAAAAACACCCAATCTGGCAACACCAGCTACCAGCGTCGTAGTCTACAGCCGCGTGCGTCATCAAAACAAAATGCAGCGTGGAAGCCACAGCAGCATGGAGGCGACCGTGGATGCGACAAAGCAGCAGTATGATCACTTAAAACAGGTTTATGACCAGGTGGTCGGTGAGGATGATGGCAACAACTTTGCCCGCCGGCTTTCAGTAAAAAAATCCGCACTTCAGTAACCTTAAATTCCTACCTCAGCCTGGTCCCTCAGTTTGTGTTAGTAAAATCTTCTTGAGCGGAGGTCTTCAACAGGGGATCCGCGACCCCTAGGGGGTCTACGGAGGTACTGCATGAGGGTCTGCATGGTTAGTTGATATTTTTATATCCCCCCCCTGCAATTTTTTTCCCCACTAATTGAAATGTCTTTAAATACTCATTAAAATGAAATCAACACACTGTAGTAAACAGATAAATGGAGACAGAAGATGTATTTCAGTCATCAATGCAAACATTCAGAGACACACAGGAGCTCTTTCAAGCTGGGCACCGTTTCCTTCACAACACCTGTCCCATCAACCAGGAATCACAATCAGAAATACTTTAATAATGCCAGGGAGAAATTAATTTATTTACATTACTCCATCTGTAATAGAGTGACTATAGGACCCCGCTCCATCTCGCCATCAGTTTGGGGGTCCTTGGTCTGGAAAACATAGAAGACCCCTGTTCTTGAGGGTTTTACTATCCATGTAACTTGTTTGTTAAACCTGCCTGGTATAATTTTCCAGGATTCCTTTTTAATATGTATTGAAATGGAATTTCAAATGGAAAAAATTATTAAAATAAAAAAAAACATTTGCACCTTAAAGACTACTTTCCTATTTTTCTGTTAATAATTGCTCATAAAAAGACCATTCAAGCAGCACATTTTTCCAGATGTTTTTGAGAATATAATGTAGGGGTGAAAGCTGCAGCTGCTACTAGTGTGAAGTGAATGGACAGCAACAAAGCGTTAAAGCAACAATGGGGAAATGCTGTCCCCTCAATGCTAATGTAAACCCTGGTTGGATAAGGATTCAAAACTGGATATGAAGATGAAATCTGACGCACAGTTTCAGTGTTACAACTGATAAAATAATGACTGTCTGTGGTTCTACAGTAGGCTATGGTGTAATTGAGCAATACATGAAAAAAAAACTATGAACTAGTTCATTTTTTGGAACTGTGAACTTAGTTCAAAATTTTGAATTATGAACTATGAACTGAACTAGTTCATTTTAAAATGTGTGAACTGAACTTTGAACTAGTTCACGTAGAAAGAGAACTTTCCCAACACTGACTATATGGCACATTTACAGATTTAATGCGTAATTTTAAAAAACAGCCGAGGTTGAGAGGACCATGGCCAGGGCTAACGTTAGCCCGTCTGCAGCAGCCCTCTCTCTATATAGCCGTGTGTGAAGAACCGCTGGCTATGACGGCGAGTTTTTTGTTTGATTTGGCAAAATGTTTGTTTGATTTGTGTTTATCTGAATGTGTTCATTCGGCCATTAAATGAAGAAAGTCAGAATTTATTATTATCTAGAGACTATTAATAACAGGAGCTGAAATGCAGCTCAAGACGAGCTGAGCGTGTTGTGATGTCGCGTGTTGAGAGAGTACGCTTCTCTTCCAATTGACCCATATTTATGCTGCATGCTCCCGTTCTCCCAGAGTCCACACTTTCCTGTGTTCTTCTCAAGAACATACTTGGAGAGAACACAAATCTGTACTCACGTTCTAGTGAATTGAGAAACAGCCAACAATTTACTCTCCAACTATCCACCTGTGACGGTCACCGGAATTCTGCAAAGATTCTTATTTACTGTTGCGTATATTAGCTGCAACATATGAATCAAGATGCTATGACCAAAAAAAATTTGATTGACAGATCACCGCTGATATATGATTGGCCGAATTTAGGTGTTCAGGCTGACGTGTAACCCCCACAGATTTTAAGGTAGGATTTTTTTTTTTTAAATAGAAATTTTTCGAAATTTTCGGATATATAGTCTGATAAAGAGTGCATTTATATACATGTTTTAGCCAGGATGATCTGACATTTAAATATGACTTCCCTACGACTTTAATGATGCAGAACAGACGACAGTCGGATGGTTCTGTAGCTCGATGGACGGATGCTGAAGGGAATAATGTCTAGACATGTTATTATTGTTCCATATTTCTGAAAATATTCCCTATAAGTTTAGACCTTAGACTAGTTTTAGAAGCTGTCAGCTTTAGTAGATGCTGAGCAGGTTTGTTTTCAGCTGCAGCTCGTCGAAAACCTTTAATCAGACAAAGCTGGGAGCAGGGACTGTTCTCCAGAACCCCTGAAGAACCCCTGATCTCTGGTTTCTCACTGCCTTGCTAAGAGGCCGTCTGTCAGTGATGTGTGAAGCACTTCTTGCAGCGGGACGCTAGAATCTGCCACTGATATGTAACATGGTTGTCCTGGGTCCCAGACCCGCTCCCAGCACCGCGCTAATTACCTTCTGGCCCGGTTTGATGAACGCGTTGACGTGCTTCAGCACCGGTTTGAGCATGGGGTCGTAGCGCACGCACAGGTCCTGGATTTTTATCTCTCCGTCATGAGGCCAGTTTTCAGGGACCTGGGAGGCATCTGCAGCCAGAGAACATTTTCATTCTGGATCACTTATCAAAACTGACTAATAGACTGAATGAAAGGGTCAAATGGCAGGAAAGTTACCCATAGAACCCTCGTAGTTCTCGGACTCGGTGCCGAGGAAGCTGTTGACCTTCTTCACAGCCGCCATCTGGACCTCCAAATCTGCTAAGTTCCTCACCACCCAGTTTAAGTAGTTTGTGATCTGCAGAGAAAGACGCAAACTTTGGACCTACAGCTTCGGCTCTATCCGCTCCTGGAACCTTCTCAACACTTCAGAACATCTTCAGAAAATTAATTCTGAAGTAAATCTAGATTTATAGACTGAGTGAAAAATTACCACTCTGTCATGACCATATTAGGGCATACAGGAAGACTTCATTTTGGACATTTGGACATCCTTGACCAGGAGCTGACTGTTCACATTTCACAAAGTTAAGTGGAAGGAAAAGCTGCCAAAGCAGCATATACAGACATTTTGAGGACAGCACAAACAGGCTACTGCGGATACTATTTAATGAAGATGCCAGTTGGGGACTTGTGAGGCATCTGTTTCTCAAACTAGAGACTCTAATGTACTTATCTTCTTGCTCAGTTGTGCAACACGGCCTCCCACTTCTTTTTCTACTCTGGTTAGAGCCTGTTTGTGCTGTCCTCTGAAGGGAGTAGTACACACCGTTGAAGGAAATCTTCAATTTCTTATCAATTTCTCGCATGGAATAGCCTTCATTTCTAAGAACAACAATAGACTGTCGAGTTTCAGATGAAAGTTCTCTTTTTCAGGCCATTTTAGTGTTTATTTGACCCCACAAATGTGATGCTCCAGAAACTCAATCTGCTCAAAGGAAGGTCAGTTTTGTAGCTTCTGTAACGAGCTAAACTGTTTTCAGATGTGTGAACATGATTGCACAAGGGTTTTCTAATCATCAATTAGCCTTCTGAGCCAATGAGCAAACACATTGTACCATTAGAACACTGGAGTGATAGTTGCTGGAAATGGGCCTCTATACACCTATGTAGATATTGCACCAAAAACCAGACATTTGCAGCCAGAATAGTCATTTACCACATTAGCAATGTATAGAGTGTATTTCTTTAAAATTAAGACTAGTTTAAAGTTATCTTCATTGAAAAGTACAGTGCTTTTCCTCCAAAAATAAGGACATTTCTATGTGACCCCAAACTGTTGAACAGTAGTGTAGATTTGACCAATCAGAGGCCTCCTATTTGCGGCACTGTCTGCGGTCACCTACAGTTTTGGAGAGATGCAGCAGAGTGTCTGCAGAAGGGCACATCTGCATTAACAGCGATACACGCACCTGGTTTGATCACCAGCTTTCTGAATATAAATCAGCATTTAGACAGTATGGGGCATTGCAGGTTAACAAAAGAAGCCAAACCAGTTCATTAAATCCCTCCAATGTAATAGCTTTAGGTACAGATTTTGATCCATTGATTATTCCTTGCTGACTGGACTTTTCCTTTGTGTACACACCGTGCGTAACCAAAACAACAATAAATGTTGTCTAAGTCTAAAAACAGGGAAATTTGGGCTTTAAAATTTTAACAGCAGTCTAAGGTGGAGATTCAGCTGAGGTTCATCTGAAGCTCTGTTATAGCCAGATGTCTAAAGCAGAACGATGAGCTCACGGTGAGGGCGTAGGTCAGGCCCAGTCCCACCAGGGCAGCTGTCTGACCGGACCAGACGGACGCCACGGCCACCGTCAGGACAATCACCGCTCCCAGGTAGTCCTGCAGGAGGATGGAGAAGAGAAGAGAAGTAACCAGCGGTGCGATGGATGAGCGTTCCGATCGGTGCCGCTGCAGGAAACCGGTTCCTTACCGTTCGGACCTCCAGCCAGCGGTTGGCAGCAGACAGAAACAGGTAGGCCGTGTTGTTGGTATCAGTCAGCTCCAACATGCGCTGTTTAAACTTGGCCTCGTGTCTGAGAAGAGACAAACCCAGACCCGTGAGTCCAAACTGCAGAACCAGAACCGCTAAACTGCTTTTAGAACCAAACAGAAAATCGGTTGTGCTGATTTTCAGAGCAGGTTTTTTTTTCTGCTACGGTGGTTCTGGACGATGTTTACTCTTGTGGGTCCCAGAGTTTGTTCTGAGCGTTTTGTGTGTGAGTGGGAAGAAGGGAGAAATCCTCCGGGACCCAAAGCGTGAGAGCTGTTTAAAGTTGGACCGCAGCACCGATGGGAACCAGAGGAGAGACAGAAATACAAGCAGAACCTCTGCCGGGTCCAACTTTGCACAGAATAGCACAGAACATCAGCGTGGTGTCTCTGAAGGAGCCGCGGTTCTGGTTTACCTGAAGGCTCTGATGGTGGTCAGGCCTTCTGCCGTCTCAGAGAAGTGGCAGAGCAGCGGGAGCTGGGTGGAGTCATCCAGGTCCTGCAGGTCCCTGAGGACGACACAAAGCAAAGCCGGTGTTCTGTCAGATGAGCATACCCAGTCAGACCAGCAGTATTCAACACCTGTTAATCCCTTTAGTGTGATGATCCTGGCACAGGTGGCTTGCCTGATTGCTCATTCCACTCACCTGTTTAACTCTGCCCAGTTTCTCATTACTGCTTATCTGATCCACCTGTTTTCAGCTCCCATATATCATTAAGAATATAATCGATAAATGTAGGAAGGTAATAAATATAATGAGGTGTTTAGTTGGAACAGAGTGGGGAGCTGATAGAAAATCATTAAAAGCTATTTATACTGGGTTAATCAGGTCCGTCCTTGACTATGGATGTATAGTGTATAACTCAGCAGCAGATACAAACCTCCATAAGTTAAATAGCCTTCAACATCAGGCTTTAAGAATATGTACAGGCGCTTTTAGAACTTCTTCAACAGCAGCATTACAGGTTGAAATGGGAGAAATGCCACTTAAAATTAGAAGAGATCAATTATCTTTAAACTACTGGTCAAATTTACAGGGACAAAGGAAGGATCATCCAACATTAGAGGTGCTTAAACCTGGATGGGAAAAGGAAAAGAAACAATTAAAGAGCTTTGGATGGGTAATAAACACTAAAGTTAATGAAATTAATTTAAATCAGTTAGATATATGTCAGACAGTTCCAATAACAGCAATTCCACCTTGGATACTTCCTGATGCTAAAGTTGATCTCTCATTATTAGAAAAGAAGGAAAAAGATAAATATCATATTATGAATAAATTTATAGTACAAGAACACTTAAATAACTATTATAATTATATACAAATATATACAGATGCATCAAAAAATACAGCTAATAGGGTAGGGATAGCATTTATTATACCACAGTTTCATATTAATGTTGGAAAAAGGATTAGTGATGGAGTTTCAGTATATACCGGTGAAATGCTAGCTTTGCTTTTAGCAGTTCAATGGGTGGAAGAGGTAAGACCATTAAAATCTATCATTTGCTCAGATTCCAGTTCGTCATTAATCAGTTTGCAAAATAATCAGTCAGTCAGTAGACCAGATATATTACTTGAAATACAACAAACACTTTACAGAATAAATATGATGGGGCTAGTGGTAAATTTTGTGTGGGTTCCGGCACATAACGAGATAAAAGGAAATGAAAGGGCAGACAGGATGGCTAAGGAGAGTACCAATAAGTTAAGGGTAGACATTAATGTTAGTTTTGGTATAACAGAAATAAAGGGTATAATTAAACAAAAAGCAAAAGAGAGGTGGCAAAAGTTATGGAATGAAGAAAAGAAAGGAAGGTGGCTTTATAAAATACAAAAGAGAATTGGACCAATGAGAAGATCAGAAAGGAACAGGAGAGAAGAGATTATTATTTCTCGACTTAGAATAGGACACACTGGATTGAACAGATCGTTATTTTTGATAGGAAAACATCAGACAGGGAAATGTGACTGTGGGGAAGATGAGACTGTGGAACATGTCATTTTAAATTGTAGTAAATATTCGATACAGAGAAACAGGTTAATAAGGAAACTTAGTGACATGAAAATGAAACTTGACATTGTAGATTTATTGCAGAAAGAATCAGGAAGCAGAGGATATCGGGTTATATTTGAATTTTTGAAACAGATTAGGTTGTATAATAGGATATAGTTTTTTTTTTTTTTTTTTTTTTTTCTCTGTCATGTAGTCCACACTCCATACCAGTTGGTGGCGGTAATGCTCACCTAACGTTTTTTGCCAACCGCCAATAAAACTCAATAAGAAGAAGAAGCTCCCATATATTCTGTGTGTTTTCCAGCTACTAGTGCCAGATTATTCAAGCTGTTTGGTGTGAGTAACTCTAGCATTCTGTTTGTTGTTCTGATTACCTGATTGTGACCCGTTTCTGGCCTGTGGATCCTGAGTTTTTGCTTCGCCCTTGTCTGCTCTTTCATCTGCTCTGTTCTGGACTGATTCCTGGATTCACCTGGCTCACCAAAGTTGGACTGTTCTTCTGACATCGGCTTGGATTCCCCTTCTGTACCTCATCGGCTCTCTGATCTTCTGGTCTGTGAACTTGATTCAGCTACAACTTCGGCTTTCGACATTCCCTTCAGGACTCTGTTGCCCCTCGGCGTCGGCTGGCTTCAGCTCCACTCAGAAACAGCTCAGTGACTATTTACTCTTAATTGTTATCAGCCCTTATTAGACACTGACCTGAGTTTCTGTTTCCAGATAGGATCCGGTTTATCCGCTCCAGCTGACGAGCAGCCGCACGCTGAGTGTTCAATTAAGACTTTTTTTTGAATAATTCAGAGCTGTCTGTTTTTGAATATTGGGTCCAAGGTTTTGAGCTCATTACATTTAGTTTTGTACGAAAAATAACAGGCAAGTATCCCTTTAGTCCGGTACAAAAAAGAATTTAATTACTTTTTGGTGTTTTTTGAAGCATATGGCGATCTCACTTCAAAGGAAAA